TTTAACTACAGTGCCACCACCTTCACTGAAGTTTCCACAATTATTTGACATTTGTTCCCTAACAAGCACAGTGCCTGAACAGTCCACCCCACCTTCCTCCTCACAACTGGCAGCTCTCAGCATCCTCAGATCCCTGTGGATGGCGAAGGACAGACTACAGAACCTAACACCATGGTGAGATTCTTTTGAGCCTGCTAAATTCACATCCTTTTCTCAAATATATGTGATGCTTTCAAGAGGAACCAAAGAAAGGCTCCATGAGTTCTCTTCACATCACAGTTCACTTGGCCGAGTTGCTCTAATGTGGTCCCTTTGTTCACTTTCTGGGAACACCTAAACGAACACAGGTAAGTCCCAGCAGCTGTTACCAGCTTCAGGTTTGGGAAGATTTATATTACAGTGGAGTTAAACTTAGTTTTGCTTTTTCAAGCTTTCAGAAGAGGTTATGTAGCTGAAGTTGGGATAAAATACATCAAGGTAGCATTTTGTTGCCAGTGGAACTGACTTCAGGACACACTCCAAAGTAAATACATCCCTGTGGGACAGATGTTTTTGGTTTGTAAACCACAAAGTTAATCTATGCTGAAGTCTCAATTCCTATATGGACACTAGTCACAGGAACTCTGAATTGCAGGTTTCATGCCCTATTGGAGAGACTACGGCTAAGGAAAACCCTTTTACTTATTAAAGGTGAGCAAATTCGATGAAGGCATCACCAAGAAACACAGACCTATACTACACCATTTTCCCAGTGCAATGACACTTCTGGTATGGAAAACCAGAAAGCTAAAACAATTATCAGTATGGAAGTACAACATATTAAAGCAAATACCATTTTTAGTGTGGTCAATGTCTTAAGCTTCCCAACAGCTTCAAAGTGACTAAGATGTCATGTTTTTCTATTTATAGATGTACTTTCAAAACTGAAGTAGGAAAATATATCAGGGGAGAGGAGCCTGAGGAGCAGATCAACTCCTTACCTTTTTTCCACCATCTTCCTACAGTTGCTTCCTCTCAGAAGTCTTTATTTATTTAATTTTTTCCCCCAGATTTTAAGATATTTCTCACAGAAATACTGGAATGCTGAAGAGAAACAATTAAAAAAAAAAATTGTTTGACTGACAGCTGTCCTCTTCCTCCCCCCATGTGGCTTTTTTGCTTATACCCTCTCCCCTTCCTTCCACAATTTACAGGTAATTCCTCTTTTCATTCATGTCACTTGCTATCTTCTGTTCTGCTTTCACTCAGTCTCCTCCCTTTCATCTTCTTATTCTTGTCCTCTCTGACCTACCATAGAAACAAACTATTTTATCTCTTCATAACACCAAAAGTTCTTCTCCTCCCTGCAATGTTTGCAGTGAACTTGCAAATTCCATAGTTGAATGTCAACAGACAGTTGCCTTCTGATGATGGAACCAAATTGCTGCATCAGCTTAGAATTAATCTAGATTTGGTCAGGTTTAAATCGCTCACTTTAATCCCCTAAGTCTTCTGGAAGTCTAGGCAGTGCACTCAGCCAGATGTCAAACTGCAATGCCTTTGCAGGCAGACAAGCAGAACCAGGAAGGCCTGACCCAGATGGATCCTGAAAACTAGGACAGTTCTAGTTTAAATGAACTAAATTTATATGCAGCTGTCTAAAACACATTCCATTCATATTTTGGGCCAAAGAATATTTGAAAGTGTCTTAAGTACACTACCTCATTTCACTTCAGCCTTTAAAGCAAAATCACTCCAGCAGCAACTGAATTTTAAAGCAAAGAGTTAGGATGGCCCGTGGCCAAACACACCATGTTCATCTGCAGAGCACCACTGCTGATAAAAAGGGGAAGGAAAAAATCAAAACATACATGATGACAGTTCCTACAGATAAATTAAACCAGAAAAGAACTAAAGTAAGGATTGGGTCAGTCTGTAACATTGCTGAGTTGCTCTTCAAGCTGTATTGAATTTGGGAGCTAAAAGACAAACAGAAGCTCAATGTTGTTAGTTCTGCAGAGATGCTCCTTTGTTTAGTATTTTGAACATTAGGCAATAAGTTACTTATAGTGAACTACAATACCCACTGCATAGATTTTAACAAACACAAAATCTGCAGTATCGCAAGTTGGTCACAACCCTCACAACACATGCTGCCAATCCACAGGCTTTTGGGCTTATGAGATCAATTTCCTTCTTCTAGGATAATTCTCTAGGATCGACTGCAAAACAGGTCGTTTTCCATCTTTAAGATTATTTCAAATGAAGGCATTAACCTCTCTATGCAGAAGCACATCTACCTGTACCATCAGTTACCATGAGCAGATGAAATTTGATAAAGATTGCACTATAACGCAAACATACAGTAATATTTTGACATTTATTGCATTACTGTTTAGTACGAATGTAAAACTCCCTTTTAAAATATAAATGTCTTTGAGAAATCAGAAGAATAACAAGCCTTTAAAAACATTATATGAAGCACTATATTTCATTCTACAGACAGTATTATATAGACATCTAGAAGGGAAAAATGTTATTTTAAAATACAAAGCAGAATAAATATTTTTTATAAGATAAACTAACCAGTTTTTACACAAAGAGTTTAGATTTTTAAGAAAAAAATATTTTTCTGAAAATATCAACTTTCACTTTGATTCTAAATTTATACATCAGAACTATTTAATACTAGTATACTAATTTTCAAAGAAAAAAAAACATTGAAAAAACTCTGTGCAGCATTCACTAGGATTATAATTTGAATCCCTAGGGTGCATGCTCTGTAATAATAGTTCAAACAAAGTAAAACTAAAAAAATCAGATCTGTAGAACAGGTGATGAATAGTTACTTTGCTGACTCATTCCAGATGTATATGCAAGTTCCAACGAAGGGAGCGCCCAAAGCTGAAGGCAGCTGTGATGGAGGTGAGGGGAACGGACCAAAAAACCTGTCAGAGGCAACTCTTCGATCAGCACGATGCTAAATTACTGCCTGCTCTTAATTAAAACACTGCAGTTACCACCACACCGTGTGGTTGATAAGCCTTCGTTCCGAGATCTTCCAGCAGGTGTCCTCACACGGCAGCGGTGTCAGGGAGGTTAGGGACTGGCACCATTTACAAAAAAACTGATGAGAAGGAAAAGAGACTAAAAGCAAGGGTGATACAAATATACAGATAGGCAAATTAGAAGTATTTATTCTCAAATGCGAAACTTCAAAACATAAGGAGCATGTTAAATATAATAAGGCTGTCATCTTTGAACTAAAGTCATCTGAACATGCACACAGTGAGTGCATCTGCTTCAAGTAGTACATTCCTTTCCCATTTGTTAGGGAATTCTTACACCTCACTTATAAACCAAACAAAAGCTTAAAAAAAATGGTGAAAAGCATGAGCAAAAGGAAAATGGCAGAAAGACTCTAATCCTGTCCTTCTTTCTGTTTCATGGTAAAACTGACACTAATTTAATCGTGTGCACAGTGTGAAGCTTTCTGCACTATTCCCTAGTGTAATGACACACAAATGACGTACACATGTTGTCACATACTTGGTATTCTTGGAAGCATAAAACCCCTTAGGTATTTCATGGAGACCTAAATAGAAAAATTTTCTTAATATAGTGATCCTCATCATTACTACTGCAAGTGGAAAGTTTTTATATCACATTAAATATTTGACTTGTCCTTCTACGTAGTGAGTAAATACATCCACCACAGCTAACTACCCACAGACAAGACAGTGATTCAGCTGAGTACTGGTCTACAAACACAAAGCTGGGATTCTTCACCCAGGTCTATGAGACCAGAATCCCCAGCCCTCAATCCATTACCTGCTTCAGTGCAGATGTTCATGGCTTCATACATGAGAAGGCACATCAGGGAAAGATGAAATCAAGATGATGAACGTAACTGACTCTTCTTCAAGAGCAGACACAGAAGTAAGTGTTGACACTTGGGGATTACTGGGATAGCAGCCAAGCAGGACATGTCAGTCACTACAGTTTGGCTGGTGAAAAGAACTTGAGACTGCCCCAGCTTCAGGAAAATGCTGGGAGGGTGGCTCCAATAGCTGGGACACAGTTGTCTGCCAGAGGTGCTTCGGTGCACCCCCTACGGCAGTTATAGACAGAAAGCATTGCTATGTTCTATACTCTGAATTAGGTCAAAGCTAGCATCATCAATTATAGAAGCAGATTGCTTATGAAATCTGAGAGTAGGGGTTTTGTTAGTATCGTGTCTGATGCTTCAGCAGCATGGGTGACTAATTTTCTGCAGGCTGATTGTCCTCAATTTCAACAATGGAAGTAAAACCAAAACAATTTTTAGCTTGGTGTCAGTGAATTACCATGGTGAACAACACAGAACTGTCACATTTCTTAACTGGTGAATGTTTCTTCCATGCTGCAGAAGCATCAGATAAAGCACATTCTCCACTTAGCTTCTCCTGAGAAAACAAGAATCCAGGTTTCTGAAAAGGATGGTAAATATAGTTATTAAAGCTATTAAACTTTATCAGCCTAACTAAGATTCTTCTCAGCTATCACAAAAAACAATTATACCTTAACTTTTTGTTGTGATGTACTAAAAAACTAACAAACAAAAAACAAAGAAAAGTTATATGAAAACAGCATTTTCATTTAAAATATTAAAGCAAAAATACAAATGAAGGATGATGGCTGGGGACAGCTACAGTATATTGCTAACCATTTACAGTTACTTCACTAAACCATCTGTCTTTAATATAAATCTTAAGCCCTTCACCCTTTAACCATGTGATACGGAACACAGAATTACAATCCAAGCCAGAGACCAACTTTACTGTTTCCAGATAAAGACTTCTTATGGGAACAAACACACATCTCAAACAAAACCATAAAAGATACTGAATCAATCTTAACTGTAACCAGCTCGTCCTCCACAGCTCTGGTTTCATTGTGTAAACATATTCCAGTCAAATCTTTACAAAATATGTCAATAAATCATTATTTCCCCCTCTCTCCCCAGGAAAACTGTGCAAGGATAACTGTACACATATCCAAGAATACAGAGGATGTAATTTTATTTGAGGTCCACAGGTAATTGTATCACATTAGGGAGTGGAAGAATCTTGTGGTATGGCACAACACAATACCTCAATCTAAACACTTAAACAGAAGGTTAAATGATATGCAACATGATCAAATCAGTAATTCTCCATCTTCTAGGCACCAATGATTAATTTAAAATAAACTTTTAATAAATTGAAAAAATAATACAGTCCATTAATTTGTTTGTTGCACTGTCTTTAAAGGAAACAGCACTTTGAAGTCACAAATAAAAAAGCAGCACTTTCTTTTAATACCAACACCACTGTAACACATACTGTAGCGTGGCATGCAAATCCATATCTGCAGTCTTTTTTTTTTTTTTTTTTGTATTAACAAATGGAATGGTAATTTTCTATCTCAAATATTAGTAGCATAACATGTAAGTGCAATCATTCTGGCCACAAATGTGGTAAGCCTTAACAAGTGTGTATTACAAGAGCATAGAACACAGAGCATGACACTTACATCCAAGAATCTCTCTCTTTTATACTGTACATGGTGTTTGTTGCAGGCTGACTTCCAATTTTGCTGTACCCAAGCTTCAGGAAACAAGATTATTGACCATTTCTGGTCTTGCTTAAAAAGAAAATGCAGTCACCATCAAAGGACAACCATTAACAACCTGGTCAAAAAGATGCCATGGCTCCCTTGAAAAATAACTTGTCTTTTTAGTAGACTCTATTACATAATAAAGCTTCCATTATAGGCATGTTACGAGGTCTTACAGTGGTACTGCAGTGTCATTCCTGTTGAGTAGAGATTTGTATAGACACCAAGAAATGGTGCAAAGTTCAAGAAAAGCTGTTCAAACTGAGCTAAGCTTCACGAGACCACGTACTGAGTCTTCATGCAATGAATCTTGGCTGGCTAGACTCAGGACTTGCATTGTATGGCTATGTGTAATAGGACTTCCACTTGACAGCATTCCAGGGGGTGATGGAGCTTCTTCAGGAGTGAGAAACTGATGACCTTCGTGTTCCTCTTTTAATGGTATCATGTCTGTCAAACCTGAATCTGATGTGAGATTTGGCATAGAAGATGGTGGTGTTGGTTGCCCTAGAGTTAGAGACGCACAAGGCCCACTGATAGTAGTCTTTCCTGGTAAAGGTAGCTCTTCACTATTTATGCTTGGCTCACTCTGTAGTAGGGGGGTGGCAGCAGCCTGCAAAACGAATTTAGTGCTCTGAATGCACTGATCTTGGTCACACTGTAGAATGGAAGGGTGTCAAAATCATATATGGCAAACAAAACAGAGAAAAAAAGGAGAATATGGACAAAAAGGTATGGAAAAGAATGGGATGTGAAGAGAAAAAAAGAAAGCCATTAGTATCATTCCATGGTTAGCCACCCAAAAATCCCATTGCATGCTGCCCGGAGGGAAAAAAAAAAAAGAAAAAAGCATGCATAACTGAGCCAGTGCTTTAGTTTACTATCCAAGTAAATTATTATAAACATTTACAGTGCTCACTTAAGGGTTTTGGTAACCACTAGAGTAGTATTTTTGTGAGTACTGTAATTCAAATACAATTACAAATCATATGTGTTTAAAGCCATTTGGAAAGCCTTGCTGCACAGTCTATGTGTAACTTACTGCACCAGGCACCTCAAAACCTCCCTAATTCAAGGTGAGGCGAATCACTTCCACACTACTCATTTTACCCTAGAGTAGCTAGTCGTTCAGAGAGAGGCCCAAAGGCACAATCAAAGCGTTTTTCCATGTTCAAGAGCACTATGCAAGTGGTCTTCACATACAGGAACTGAGGCACTACAGACACTTTCCAGAACAAGAATTCCTTTGATGCAGGTAGTTTTATAAAGGTATAGCTGGCAATACAGCCTCTACGAGCAAAAATTTCCCCCCTCTCCCAATTTAATGTATTATATCTCTGCTCCAGAGAATGTATTACACTATACTCAGTACTCCAGAGGATGTGTAGAAATTAGGTAGCACTGCATATGTATTCATTTGATACTAATGTTATTTTTACACTGTTTCTTGATTAATTTAGTCTTGACAATGTGAAGAATCAAGGTACAAAACACAAGTTTTCTGGCAAGCACTTTTGCAATAACAAGCCAAATTCAGCATTATACAAATCCAATTAAGCTCAGTGAGTACTACCAGGAAAGCTCTTAGCTCTACGTAATTCCTAAGAATTGTTTATGCAAAATTATCATTCACCTCTTGAGATGACAAGACAGGTAGGTATTTCAATAATGTCCAGTTAGCAGAGTGGGTAGTAGACCTACTGCCAAATTAAGTTCCTTTAATGCAAACTGGCATGATTTTTGAGAGCTTCCAAGGACAATATTTAATTCATAACCAGATCTGTTATAGCATCTGTATATTTTCAAAATCCTGTTAGATTAATTTGCTGTACTACTGTTCTACTGTGCAAGGGAAACATTATAGTCAATGAATACAACTACAAATCCAGTGCCGCAAAGAAAACTTGGAAGCAAGCAAGCAGAATAAAAAATTATATCCAGAGGCAAGACATGCCTATTCACTGTTGTTATTTCAAGGATTCTGTTGAAGCAATATATTCTGCTTTACAACTGACTTCGATCTATATCAAATTACTCAAAGATACTACAAATGCAACATCTGTTCCAGATATTCCCAACTATAACCATTGCTACTAACATTACAGCAATGTCCTAAAATGCCCCGTTAAGCTGAATAGGCCAGTGTGATATACTCTATGCAAACTCATGGAAAGACTTCTGTTTCCTTTACTGTATGATGAAAACAATCACTATGAATGTTTTGCCTGATATTTTCAGGTCCTTCAATTCCACCACTGAATAGCTTCATGATGGACGCACACACATCACATTAAGAAACTCTGCAAGCTAACTGACTTGGTCACAGTAAATAGGCAGTATTTTAAACATGTCTAAATGGTTTGGGACTCCCAGACCAATTACTTTTTGACAGGCAGAAGCCTGTTCCTTACTCAGTTATGTATTTTCCAACACTTATGCTTTCAGAAAGATAAACGCACTGACTTCCTGTTATATAAATTGAGTTAATCTATGTTGCAAGTAAGTTTTTCCACAAAAATGATGAACAGCCCCAGCCAAACAATTGAAGTGGTCTGTATCACTTCAGAGGGATGACTCACACGCTTAAAGCCAAAACCTTGCCTAAGTACCTTACTAAGAGGAAAATTGTCAGCATCTTTTAAAGTCAAGGTCTCAACTAGTAATTCACTGTGAATAACTCACTCTTGGTTAATATACTGTTATTTACACCTGCTCATTTCAATTAAGCTATAGCTCTTCAAACAATCTTACTATGCACAACTTAAAAAGCTCTTAACTGAATTTTGAAACTGCAAAAAGACCAATGAAATTCATCTTCTCTGAAAAGCAGTAGCAGAAGAGCATGTTAAATAACAAAGGATTGCCTATAACTACTGGGCAACATTGAAAAAAAAAGTTAGCAGCTGACTTATTGCTTTAGTGAAGCTTCAGCTCTGATCTTCAAAAGGAAATAATTAATGTGTTCCAGGCAATAAAGAACACAGTTTTAAATTAGCAGAACTCATTGTATAGTCTGAATTAATTTTCTTCTTACCGAACTCTAGAGCATCAATCAATCCTGAGAAGATAAAAGTAGCCTTTAGATAGATAAAAGATTCCATTAAACAGAGTGCTATACAACTTCTCCAGGTGCTGTATGTCTCATCTTCATTTTACACACACTTGTCACTTCCCTGAAACCTCTCCTCTTATTCCTAGACATTCCAGGTTTTGGGTTTTTTGTTGTTGTGTGTTTTGTTTGGGTTTTTTTTGTTCTATTTAACAGTCATGAACATGAAGCATCTTAGGAAAACACAGGCTGTGAACAGCGTTCAAAAGTGAACTAAAGCGGGGTTGATACTAGAAAAGGTAGATGTGTTCAGTGAAGCTCTCAAAAACTTCTGATAAAAACACCACATACTATACAGGGAAAATACTCTTGAGTCTAAACAGCCAACACAAAACCAAACAAGGAAATTAGATTTGCTTAAAGGCTGGCACAGTGTTTTTTCCTTGATTCTGTGTTTCCCTCTTAAATAAATGAAAGTTAGGGCCAAGAGTCTAACCAGCTATCAATCACACAAATTATTCAACGGCAGCACTTCCAATGAAATTTAAAAAGCCTATGATTGTAACAAAAAGGAACCCAAGCACTGAAATCTAAATAGCTAAAAATCTAATGTAGAAATTATTCCACCAGTACCTTCTTACTTCAGATCTACTGATTTTATTTTCCACTTACAATTTCCACTGTTTCAGAAGAACAGCAGATTCTGAAGGTAAGAGAAGCTTAAGTTCTACAAGTACAAAAGTTCAATTATATATGTGCAGAGAAATTTTTAGCCATCTCTATTTATTTTCACATCAAAAGGCACAAATGGAAGCAAATTAGGCAAACCCTAAAATTCTGTGTTTATTTTACAAATAATAAATACAGACAACTAAGGAAACAGTATTTCTTTACTCTTTCTGAAGATCTGTTTTTTTCTAAGCTACAAAAAACCCCATGCATGTTAACATAGTAGTTGCACATGGCAAAATATTTTTCATATTTCTAATGCCAAAGCCAGAGATTACATACTTTGAATTTAAAATTAACTTATCAAAATTTTTCTAAACAATAGTAACCTTAAAAAATTGCTACAGCTCTCAGAAGATGGAGAAAAGAAGTTTGGGTTGAGTCACCTCAGCATCTTTGAATAAAATACAAACAGTAAAGTTCAGAGGTGACTAGCAGCACTGAATGCTTGAACGAAAATCCTTCATCAATCTTGACTGTAGCAATGATGACTTGGAAAGTGTCTTAAGTTCCATTTTGGGCAACAATAAATTATATTTGTGAAGTAGGATGGTAAATATACAAGGAAACACACATAAAACTCACAGCAAAGTGGGGCTCCTATTCTTGCTGATTCTTTCAGTGTCATGGTAGAAATATATACTCCTCCTAATAATGAGGATATGAAAAGCAAAGGAGAAAGCATACTAGGATGGTCAGAGTTCATGTTCTCCAGATCAGCTGGATTTGTGTTTCCTGATTAGTGCTAGAAATACTGATGAGAACATTTGGGAGAGGACTTTGCTGCATGTCTCACTGGTAACAAATGTTAAGTGTGCCTTATTATGCTTCATATAATTTTCAGTGATATGTGTAAGTAAGGAAACAAATGCTCTAATTAAAGAATTTGAATTCAGGAAAGCAAAGGGAGAACTGAAGAGAATTTGGCACATAAGGAACTACCAAAGCACTGAGGAAGAAAGGCCCAAAATGCAGGAGTACAAGCAAATTTATTGAAAACAAAAACAAAACAGAGGCAAATAAAAGTAAAACCTATCACTTCGTAAGGCATTAGAGAATTCCTAGGACAACATAGTCTAAACAAAGCAACCTAATTCCTCCAAAAAAAAGTGCATGGAGTGAGATGGATTAGATGTTTCTTCATAATGGATTACTAAAGAATAAAAAACCCTGTATCAACACCCAAGCATCAACTCAGGCTTTTAGGGGAAAGCTAAGTACTATAGAAGTGCAGATCCAGGTAATGGTAGCTGATGGGTTTATGGTGAAATAAGAACCTTTTTTTTTAGAATGCAAAGAAAATAAGCCTTAAAATGAAAGAGAATGAAAGAACAAAATACAGAGAAAATCATTATTTCAAATTGGATGAGATACCCTGTTTCATGCAAAAAAATAATTCTTAAGAATTAGAAGAGAGACACTTGAGCACTCAAACTACTGAATAGCTTGTAAAATTAATCAGTAATAAACTGCAATCAGGAAATACTTTGGAAATATGAGATCTACAGATTATTAACTCCAAGTGACAAGTGTAGTCACTTGGACAAGTGATATTAAGAAGCTGGCTAAAAAATTTACCAGATTAATTTCAAATTATATGGGAAAAGAGATTAAAAACACTGGGAATGTACCAGGAAAAAATAACTATGTGCTTCCAGCCTTAAAAATTAAGCAAAACTTTAACTTTGAGTAAAATAAACGAGATACTAAGCAGACAACAGAGGAAAAAGCTCTTTTATAAATATCTTCAAAAAAACAAAATCGTAGCATGGGTCTATGAAGCACTGATTATTGCAACAACCCTGACTTTCAGAGATTGTGACAATCCAAGTCACTAGCACAAGTAGGGTAGCTGCTGTATAAAATATTCAAAGTCTCAAAGGCAAAATTACCACAAAAGTTGTGGTAGTGTCCCAGAAATGGTATCCTGAGCAAGACATAATGTATTGCACGGAAAACAAGTGTCTGGTAAGCAAGAACTAAGCCTGATATTTGTTTTGAAGTTAAATGCAAAAGTGCTGTTATGCTAAAAGATGTATTAAAATAAATTAAAGCAGAACATAGTACTAAGCAACCTAGAGAGATTTAAAGAACGATCAGAGGCTGGTTTGGTGAGGCACAAGAATTCTATAAGTCACTGAGTAAAAGATTTGAGGGAAGGAATAAGAAAAGTGTGAGAGAAGATGCTCATTAAAATCCTCCTTTCATATCAATGGACAGGAGAGACTCTGTAGCACACTATATGGATTAAGTAGTATAACATTTAGACTTTATGATGAAATGTATAGATAAGATGCTGTGATGCATTCTAGAATAAAATCCAGAGACACATCATAAAGGTGCACTGGAACACACTTCATATTTCTAACAAATTTCCTGTACTCAAAAGAGTTAAACTTGCCAATGTAGTATAATTATCTCAGATGATGTATAAAAGGTTTAACATCTGCCTTTTTTTCCAAGAGACTTGCAACCTTCCAGAAGGGAAGACTGAATCATATTCCATTTTTTGTCTAACCTTTGTCAGTGAGCACATGAGCTACAAAGGAAAGCTTTTCTTCCACAAAGACTTTCCCTCTACTGTTTTGCTCCCACTACAATACCGGGTTTGAGGCAGTCTATTATTTAAACCATCAATCACCAAAGGAAATTCTGCTGTTTGCATCTGAACTTCTAGCAAGAGGGATTCTACAGAATCTTGCAGAGCAAACAAACTAAATGCAATAGGATGCTGAATGCCTTGCTGTACTTCTGTCATAGAGTGTACTCTACTGCCTTTCACTCAAGAAGTTTCAGTGGTCTTTTTCAGGGGAAAACAAGTGAAAGGCTAACATTTCCAGTGCTCCTGTTCCCAAAACTCCTCAGAAGGATGTAAGATGGTGTACTGGGAAGACAGCTGAAAGAACTACTTTAAAGCCTGGAAAACTAAGTGGGATAATTTCACAGGAAAAAGGTTTAAATAGAATGATGAAGTTTTACTTTATTACTTCTGTCTAATTTTAAATCAGAACTGGAAATCCGATTATTGAAGAGAACGGTTGAAAACAACTAAGCTAGCTGTAAGGTGAATTAATTTAAGTAGAAAGAAAGAAAGCATAAGAACTTGAAGGAGAAAAAAGGAAATCAGTTTTGTTTGCTGCTTTATGATCTCATAGAGATCTAGTATAGGAGAGACTAGAACCTGAAAATAAGTAGAGACTCAGAAGAGTAACAATAGAAAAAGTGGAACATGAAAAAAGAACAAATCAGAGGCAAAGTTATGTTCCACCACATTGTTGCCAGCAGGAAAGAATTTCTCATGCTTTAGTCAAGTCAGGAAAGAATGCAAGACTTTAAACAGGAGAGAAATGAGACTGGAAACTAAGCAGGTTTTTAACAGTTTGCAACAAAACTCTTAATGCTGATCTGAAAATTTAATGTTGATAGCCAGTTGCCACCAGAAGCCAGCTTGTCTTGGATATAGACTTTGAGTAATACCCTGAGGAAAATGGCTCACAGTCTTAAAGATATTCCTCCGTACCAAATACAACCTACCACATTTTTCAAACTTCTTCTGAGAGATCATCTTCAGAAATGACAGCTGTGCATTTCCAAGTGGCTCCAATAACTTTTAAAGAACCCAAGCCTTTCCTAGCTTTGGTGTGTGATGTTCTAGGATATAAGAAGTTTTAGGATATAAGAAGCATATTTACAGGTGTTACACTCTAAGATCATAATAGTTACCTGTTACACTTCAAGTAATACCATAACAGATTTCTAAAGACAAGTATAGTCCATTTTCTATCAAACTGGCACAAGATTTTCTCATTAGTAACTAATAATAATTATAGTACCTTCTTACAATGAAAGTATAATTCTTATAATGTTAAGATAATTTAATGTCAGGGACTTAATGTGCGTTAATGAACCTCAAAAATAAGAAGCCTTGATAGTCGGAAAGTTTAGGTAACCCCTGAAAGATCTCAAGCTATTTCTAAGGTTTGCTTTCTCTCTCTCTCTCTCTCTCTTTTTTTAATCGCTTTTTCTCTTCTCAGAGTCAAATATTTTTTCGAGTAAAATTTGCATGGAGCATTACCTTGTTCTGCACAACTACACCTCACAGAAGATTCAGAGTTAATGCTGTATCTCCAATACATTTCTCACTAAGGAGACTAACAAATCTTCTATTTAATCCTCAAAGTAGTAAGAACAAACATCTTAGGAACTACAGCAAAATTTTTATACCAGTTTATCAGTGACACTAATCTGTCGGGGAAGAGTGAGTCTTTCCCTCTTTTTGTTCCAAAGAAAGGTTGAATTATGTTGGAAGGCCTTGTGGGTTCTTCTTTTTTTTTGGCAGAGTGAAGGTGTCCATAACTTACTGCTTCTTTGACCAAAGTCTTAGAACCCACATAATATCAAGATACTTAAGCAGGGCATGAAGTGATAGGACAAGGGGGAATGGCTTTAAACTGGAAGAAGCGAGATTTAGGTTAGACATTAGGAAGAAATTCTTCACTATGAGGGTGGTGAGACACTGGAACAGCTTGCCTAGCAAAGTTGTGGATGTCCCATCCCTGGAAGTGTTCAATGCCAGGCTCGATGGCACTTGGAGCAGCCTGGTCTAGTGAGAGGTGTCCCTGCCCACGCAGGGGGCTTGGAACTAGATGATCTTTAAAGTCCCTTTCAACCCAAACCATTCTGTGATTTTGTGATATGTGGATAACAATTCAGAAATAGGCACATATGTAAAATGCTTGCCTTTGGAAAAAGATCTCTTTGCAGTTATTCTCTTCTTCTTGGCACTGGAAATCCTATCTTCCATTACGATAGCCAATGCTACCAGCAAAAAACAAAGTAAAAACTATTGGCACAGTCTGAAAGATGTTTAAAAAGATTTTGCTGTAAGAATCCAGTTGCCATTTTTTGTTCATTGGAAGTTCAGTGGCCTCCTGCTCTTTCTTCAACACACTTCTCCCCTAGAAACTCCTCTTTGATCATCTTTGCTTTTTAAAACACATTAGTCTATGCAAAACTGTAGTGTATAAGCAAAGAAGGAAACAGAGTATGAAGAAAGTGCCATACAAAATAACAGTAAGCTGGAAAATGATGAACCAGAGCAAGTCCATGATACTTGAATATTCCAGTTCAAAACACAGCAGGTGTCAACAGTACAAGTCAAAATGCCAGTATATTCAATAAATGAGTTGTAGAAAAGCCTCTCTTTTTTTTTTTTAAATCCATGATCAATAACTATTTAACTGTTTGAAACATACATTAAAAAGAGCCTTGGGTTTTTTTTCTTTACTGTTAATAAACAAGTCATTCCACCCAGAGTGTCACTTGTATCCAGTTAGTTATTACTTGATTAGTTCACATGAAAGTGGAGAAGGAAAACATTCACAGGAATCTTGATGAACAACACTATGGGATGATTCCTACCATGTTGCTCTGAGATTGTGTAGCCCCATACATAGTAATGCCATTTGATGGTCCTGCTAATTGTGGTGTATCTGGTTGTATGAATCCTCTTCTGTCAATTAAGCTATGGGATAATCAAAATTAAAAAAAATTAGTAAGAGATATTTCTGATCAATAAATACCTCTTCTTAATAAAAAGAAAAAATTTCTGTAATACAACAGACCTTAATACCTTACCAATACCTTCAAATGTTCCCTTTTATTCAAATGAAGTATAAGAATCATTGCTGCTCATCAGCAAGGTAATTGTTTCCTCTTAATACTACCTGACATGTAGTCATATGTACTGCTACTTTTCTGGATTTTTATTATAGACCACAGATTTTGAGGCTGACCAGCAGATACTACAAAAACAATAACTTAAAACCACAGATATGAAACTAAATTACAAAACCGACTAGTTTACTTTGAATCTGTATCTATTTTGAAAGTTCTTTTGTTATCATTTTCCACACCTCCAAATTAAAGACACTTAATCACAAAATTTGTTTAGACAACTTATTTGCCAGGTGATTCATGACAGCTACCTAATACTGCTCATGGGCTCCACTACTCTTACCAAAGTGATGCACTCATAGATTGAAATAAGAAATGTTAAGAAAATGTTTGATGGAGAAATTAAATAAAAATCTACCTCAGATTATATTAAAAAAAAATAATCAAATGGAAACATCTGACCTAGCTAAAGATTTTGCTGAAATTTCACATACAATTTTACTCTCAATTTGAGAGCTATAAACCACACAACCTGCTAAAACACAGGAGGCAATGCCATTCTGGTTTACTGCGAGCTGCTACTTGTATTAGCCTAAGCTGCTATTTCAAATACTGAGAAGCATTATGTAGTTTCAGCAAAGATTTCTATTTGGAGTCAAGCAAAAGAGTTTGAAGCACGGAATTGAGTTTTAATGTCACATACTTTTATGAAAATGAAAATGGGAGAATTGAAGGGTTGGCTTCAGGCAGGAAACAGAGACAGAATTACTCTTTCTCACCGCAGGGATTACAGTGTTAACCCAGTACATGGAAATCTTAACTCGGTTGTCTCCTCCTTAGGAAAATATGTCAGTCTCTCCTGTTGACCTTCAACTGCTCATAGAAGAACCAGCCCTGATATTTGTAACACCAAACACAGAAATCCCACTTCCAATGAAACACTTTAGCCACTGGACTATAAAATGATTTACTTTCTCTCTTCTTTATAGTTCAGATTCATAACTACATAATACCAGATAAAGCAAAACAGCTTCAACTGATGAGTATACCACAAAAAAAATCTATAAAATGTCAGCCACTCTCTACAGGGGAACTAGACCTCTATTTTAGAAGTAGTACATGAACTATCTAACCACTAAATACTTGAGTAAGATGAGAATTACGTCTTTCCTGCTGCCAGTTTTATTTCTTTTGTCTCAGCTCTGTCTTGTATTTTGTTCAAGCTAAAAAGCTACCTGCAACCTTGAATATACAAATATTATGGATTTCAAAAGTCAAAATGTATGCAGCAAAAATAAATCTATTAAACTTTCTCTGGAATTGCTTTGGTGTAAGACCACCAAATGCAGCCTCATGCATGTATGTTAACAGTCGCGTAAAGAAAAAGTACTGCTTATTTAAAATAGTTCAGAGTGAAACGACAAAAATTATCAGTTATCAAACTGGCTGTAGAATTAACGTTCCTGAACTCTCCTAAACTGATGTCACATTTGTTGGATATGTGAGAGTTTAATAAACTTTTCCATTGCCCAACATGCAACAGCTACCAGGCATTTTTATTGCTAGAAGTTATTAACTGCAGTAGCAAAGGTTCAAACAACAGATAAACGAGTTTATTTTCATTTCAGATGTTAACCTTATGTGTATTTACAGGATCTGATCATTAACTTAACAAGAATTCACCAATTATATCTTTAGTACTGAAGAAAAAATTAATTAAAGATTCTAATGGACAGTAAAACAAAACTATTTCCATTGAGTAAACTCAAGCAATCGGAAAGAATATTTTTTCATCAATAATCATGTAACAATTATTATATTAACAATACTTTTCATATTCTTACCTTGGAGAGAGGGGCCCACAGAGTGCAGCACAGCAATTAGTAAAGATGTTGCCATAACTGTATGGATTATAATTTTCTTTACCTCTTTTATTTGACCATGATCCTTTAATCTGAAGAGATATAAGCAAGATGCATCACATGTAATATAAATACAGAAAATGGCTGAGACAAATTGTTACCAAAGCAGAAACATGCTGCTTATGTAAGATGCAGACCAGAGAGAGCACACGATCACATTTATCAAATAGGTTGGAGCTTTGGGCTGATATAAAAGGTTGGACCCTAAATCTTATAAGCAAACACATGCTTTACCTCCATAGATTTGGATAACCCCAAACCTCAAAGCACCAATATACTCAGAGAAGGCATTTCAGCATCTAATGGTCTAAGCTTAATGTTACAAGTACTGCGGTATGTTCTACAGAAGAGGTTCAATTGCAACATATCATTAAAGTCAGCAATAGAGCACTTGTTTTCCATACTCTTGCATAAGTTTTCAAAGCCATGCAATTCTGAATAACATGATTTTCCCTAAAGCCCACAAATAGCTCTAAAGTATTATGAAGAAACTGCAGTCATTAATGCCACTTAGCCCATATTACACTCTTTTAGCCAGTCTTGATTGTTTGTGAGTTACTTGAGAGCCTGAGCAAAATGTCCTACTGTATTAAATGGGATATATGTTTTAAATGAAATGAATCATAGAATCATTAAGGTTGGAAGGCACCTTAAAGATCATCAAGTTCCAACCCCCCTGCCATGAGCAGGGAACCCTACCACTAGATCAGGTTGCACAAATCCTTATCCAACCTGGCCTTAAAATCCTCCAGGGATGGGGCATCAACAACCTCCCTGGGCAACCCATTCCAGTTCCTCACCACCCTTAGAGTGAAGAACTTCTTCCTAGTATCTAACCTAAATGTCCCCTCTTCAGTTTAAAACTATTACCCCTTGTCCTATCACTATCTTCTCTGGTGAAAAGCCCCTCCCCAGCTTTCCTGTAGGCCCCTTTCAAGTACTGGAAGGTGCTATAAGGTCTCCCTGGAGCCCTCTCTTCTCCAGGCTGAACAGCCCCAACTCTCTCAGCCTGTCTTCATAGCAGAGGTGCTCCAGGCCTTTGACCATCTTTGTGGCTCTTTTCTGGACCCTCTCTACATCTTTCTTGTGCTGAGGTCAACAGAACTGTACACAGTCCTCCAGGTGTGGTCTGACCATAGCAGAGGGGCAGAATCACCTCCCTGGCAAGCTGGCCACACTTCTCCTGATGCAGCCCAGGATGGGGTTGGCTCTCTCTCTCTTTTACACCTCAGACTGGACAAGAAATTTCAATGGAAACATAAAATAGAGGAATACATTTTTGTTTTGAGAAATCAACACACTCTGAAAATTTTACAGTAACCAATTCTTGAGTCAAAGAATATTTACGACTTCTAGGAAAAGAGAGATATTGAAAATTATTTAGTAATTTTCTACTGAACTGAAATGTATAAAATATACTTGTGTCTTTGCATCCTCTCTTCTATATTTTCCTGTTTCAAGATACAGGTCCTGTGGCGTGAGTCACTATGTAACCAGCACATCTTTAAGTCACACAAAAATATAGTACAAAAGATCTCTCTGATATCTTGAATCAAGCATGA